CATAGATTTATTCGAGATTTTTTGTTTCAAGATTTTCAATTTGAGATTTCGAGACATATTCATGATTACCCGTCTCTTTTCTTTATTTCACTTGCGAGATAATTATTTCCCTACTCATTTGATAGAGAAAAGTCACAAGACTTTGTAAATTAACAGTGACAATATTGCCTCTACAAGAGAAAACTGTCTAGTGCTTTTCTGTTTAACCTGATTTCAAAAAATCTTCTGATTTTTCTCCGAATTTTTTGGAAAAGTCTTCTGATTCTCTCCTGATTCTTCGGAAAAAACCTCCTGATTTTTCTCCTGATTTTCTAGAAAAAATCTACTGTTCAACTTCTGATTTTTGAAAAAAAACTCCTGATTTCTAAGATTTGGATTTGGCAACCCTGGTGTGGGTGTGGGTGTGAGTGTGGGTGTTAGGGAAAAGAAAAACAACACGCACATCCCACACCCACACCCACCCACACCCATACCCCACACCCACACCCCCACGCCCACACCCTTGTTGCACTTTTCAATCAACATAAAGCGTAAAACTTTATATTTACTTTTTAAAACTAAGTACCACTTGTTCGACTAACATAAGAATCATTCTTTACAACACAAACAATGCTATCAGTCATATGGTGCTAAAACTTAATGCCCTTATCTTTTGATATATAACCTATGGTGTGTGGACTCTTCATACCGTAAATCAATAAGTATTTAGTTTTAAAAAGTAAATATAAAATGTCACCACTAATGGCCATTCTACTAATCACCAACCTTTTTTTTTTATGTAATATTTTATTATGTAATAGACTGCACAAAAGCTTTCATTCATTCCGCTCGTTATAAAAGGTATCAATCAGACGGGCAAGCGATATACACACAAACTCAAAGTATTGTAAAACTAATGAGTAAGAGGTATTCTATCGATAATAATGTTATATGATGATACTAGGTGCAGCAAAAAAAATATTCAAACTTTACTATTTCGATATAAAACAGATTACAATGCCATCATATTTACGTTCTTATTAGTCAATTAAAATTAAAAGTATATTATATAATACTTGACGACTGACTAAAATGCGTACACCTTATGTGATGAATGTTAGAATAATATGAAATTATTATTAGGCTTATAACAGATTCTCGTTCTATCAATTACTTGTTTTGTTAGATCTGGGTTCAGTAATTAGTTCTTTTGTCAAGAATAGTGTCTCATGAGTCAGATATAATAATATTAGATGTTTCATGACAGTAGTTCTTTTCAAAAGAACTGGCGATCAGTTTCAGATTTTTCAAAAGGAACTGGTGACCAGTTCAAAATTCTTCAGAAAGAACTGGATGATCGAACAGTTCTATTCTTTGATTAAGACCTGTTACAGTTCTAAACATGATGCCTCTTGTATTTGAAAAATCCCTAAATCAAACATCCCTAATTGGTCACAGCTTTTGATATTATCGATTTCATTATCCACAAATGCGGATTTGATTTAGGGATAGATTTAGAGTACCGCATTTTGTGGTAAATGATAGACATTCAACAAATATCATCAGCAATAAATCGAAAAGAAAAATTAAGCAGACTAATTCGTTCGATTTCTTTCGAAAGACGCAAGAAAATTCTCGTCAAAACTAGCAAACGAAATAAAAGCAACTTATTCGATTATCTACAATATGATGCTCGACAACTATTGAGATAACTTAATCTAGAATCAGTTATGGGAATTCAATGATGAAACTACAATTAAATGCATCATAATTAAGGCTTGCTAACTTTATCACAGAACTTGTATTCCAGGAAATGGAATAAATAACATGGAATTTTGAACAATTTTCGCATGACTCAATTTCAAGAATTCTAAAGATTATTGAAGTATTCGTTTGGTAGATATTCCCCTGTAAATATACGGCAAAATTAAAGTTGATGTTTCCTACTATAATAAAGTGCTCCAGCTTTGGATATGATACATATCCAAAGCTGAAACACTTTTTATAGTGGAGAACACCAGCTTTCATGTTACCTCATATTCACAGCTGAACACTTGCTAAACGAATACTGATTACTGAAACTTGATCAGTCTTATTTTAAGGATGTTGAGTCGAGTAATAATCAAGTTCTTGGAATTTGTGATTCCGACGACAGACCTACTTCTGTAACACTCAACATCTTGGAATAATGCATTCTTTTGGCTGAATTCAAAAGAAGGCAATGTTTTTATCTTTATTCAGAGGATAATCATCGATAGAATTGAGAGTAGCATAATGTATGGTTGAATTTTGCTTGCTTCTGTTATCAACTGAAAAATATGACTGACAAGTTCGATTACATCTGAACCATTCATTTATTTATTTTTTTTTTTTTGGCCCTTTAATATAAATAAAAGCCCATGTCTATAGAGGTTAAATTCTAAAAATTAGCTGTTCATAAAAGATATATTCTGTTCTTATTATAGTTTTTCCTTGTAAAGACATAAAAAACAGCATTTAAAAAAAGATTAGGTGTTAATGTTGCACGCATACAAAGAAGTTATGCTATTGTGCCTGACAAGGAACAGAACAGAACCAAAACGAGTTTTCTTTTTTTTGTTCTGTAATAATCTTTGACAATGATATTATTTATATATCGTACAATAAATAATGAAGAACAGCATCAATGTCCATCATATAAGATATGGTAAACGAATGAAAGAAACAGAGATGATAACATTCTTTGAATCATTCATTTATTCACTGTCAATCAATATAGACTATAGAAATATAGACCATTGTTTTCATTGACGACATCGGTCCTATAAAACAAATGAATACATATGTATAAATATCCGCATTGACAAGTTAAGAAAATCAGATAAGTGAAGATAAATATGGAAAATTTATACTTTCAATTAAATGATTTACCTGATGAAATTCTGATGATTATTTTAAAAAACATGACCAATGTTGAGGTACTCTTCTCTTTAATGGATGTTAATAAACGATTAAATAAAATTGTACATGATGAAACTTTTACAAATTATTTAACATTCTTGGTATGTTCGTCAGACAGTTCTGTTCATCGATATTGTGATTCATTAATTGATCGATTTTGTTTACAAATTTTACCTTCGATTCATCATAAAATTCAATGGCTTAATCTTGAAGCATCATCTATGAAGCGTATTCTTTTCGCTACCGATTATCCAAATTTAAGAGGGCTCGGTCTTTACAATGTAGATGATGAAACAGTGAAATATGTCTTTAATGGTAAGAAATTTCATTTGAATTGTTTTTTGATTCTGAATTATTTCGAAGGCTCTGAAAATAATATGATTATATAATTCACTAAATTATTGAGTAGACTTTTTAAATAAAAGTATCCGAAAAAAGAGAGAAAACCAATGTAAATCTGAGTGTTTGCTCAATTGTTAGTGTAGGAAAAGGAAGAAAAAGTTATTTCCATATTGAGAACGTTGATTTGCAGGCTAAAACAATAGATGATCATGAAATAAACAAGTAGTATCTTTCAAGATTTTCTTTTAAAAACTTCATTGTTACAAGATTCAAGTTTCTTTCTATTTTGTTTTTCGATATTTGAAGAAAAAAGAATTGAAAAAATATCTATAATACATAAATATCGGATTGTTGATAGTACTAAATAATGATTTACGTAATATAGAAGACGAACAGACATGTAACATTAAATAATTGTTAAAAATGAAAAAGATTAAGGCTAAATTTGATTTGTCTTTTATATGTATTTAGATGAAACTCTTTCATGTGGTATTTTCAAAAAACAGATTTCAAAACTTGTTATTAACGTAAATAAAGAGAAAATATCGAAAAATATTATGGAAAATATACTCAATGACATTTTCACTGTGTTCACCAATCTACGTGATTTAGAATTCGATGAATTGTCACGTAAAAAACTGGTCCCATTAATATTGGATTTTTCTCCTGTGTTTTTTTCTTCAACTCTTTTGAAATTGAACATCAAAGTATATCGTTTTGACGAGTGTCTTTATCTTCTTGATGGTCGTTTCAATCAATTACACACATTCTATGTTAGTATTCTAGCTATTTTACCGCTATGGTCAGAAATTAATCAGCAGGTTTGAAAAATAATCGATGTCTTTTTTCTTATTTTATCACATTATTTTGTTCTAGGTAGAACTACGAAATCTAAAGTGTTTTTCTTTATACTGTGAATCGAAAACCTATAATTACGATGAATTAATCGTACCACTTCTACATCGAATGTTGAATTTGGAAGAACTCGATTTATATCTTCAAATAATCCGTTTTGATAAAGGATTTATTGATGGAAATAATATGAAAAAGAATATTATCAATCGTATGCCACGATTAAACAAATTTATATTTAATATACGTTCAATTATTCTTTCTCTTCAGAAACAAATTAATTTGCCATCAAATGAAGATATTCAACAAACATTCAAGGATTTTCAAGAGAATCAAATTATTTCTTCTGTTGATTATTTTTCAGAGGAAGGAGAAGGTCAGTGTCATGTATATTCATATCCATATACAATGCAACATTACCATGGTATTACAAATAATTTTTCTGGTGGATTATTCGAATATGTTTATGATGTATCATTATTTGATGAACGTCCTTTTCAACATGAATTTTTCCTTCGAATTTCTCAGTCATTTCCATTTATGAGAAGTTTATCTTTAACTAATAATAAGCCACAAAATGATAAATTATGCCACAGATTAAATGACAACGACCACAATTTGTCTGTTATTAAATATCTTCATCTTAATGAACTTATTCTTCATACTGCTCATGATGATTATATCGAACAATTTCTAGTTGATACTAAAACGTATTTACAGAATGATATTTATCTTTCGATAAAATATGAATCTTTACAAAGAGTAACACGCAATTTTAGTAGAAACACAACGCGAATCAATTGTGCCAAACTCAGTTACATAGGTTTTATTCGTAAACCAGAATTTCTTCCAAATTTATCAAACTATTTTCCTCATGCAGAAATACTTTGATTTTTGTCAATTATTATTTGAATAAAAACATTTCAAAAACAAACTGACTTGTTTAAAAATAAAGTATTATAACAAATACATGATAAAGTTAGACGTGGAAATTATAGAAAATTTATTGGATAAAGTCAATCATATTTAATGTAATTGATATTAGTTTAATTAGGTCATGATCACTAGATACTTATAAAGTAAATATTGTCACGTATGAATGTGATCAATGATTTAGAGTAAGCGGCAGATACGAAAAGTTTGAAACTCAGAATTAATAGTGGCGACGGAGGGGCTGAGCCACCCAGAATTTTTGTAAAGTTGGGGCATAAAACTAATGATCTGTCATACTTACAAAATTTAGGGACGTTCAGCATCCTGATCAAAAATTCTGGCACCACCTGCATTCAGAATCCCAATGAATAATTCAAGAGTTTGTTTAAAATTTGCTAAAACTTTAAAGAATTTACAATTGGCTGAATGTTGATATTGGTCATTCATAGATGTAGATTAACTTGAAATCAAAATGAACGAAAGAATTGTTTGAATAGATTAGTCCTACGAAAATCTAGGTAGTCCCAAAAAGTTATAAAGACTATCCTAAAATAACTTTTGAAAGTTAGAGGTAGAGTATCGATGATTCCTGATCAATTAGTACCTATCATGGGTCGATTTGAACAGTTCCAAAGATCGGAACAAAAACCGAAATGTTCGGTGGCTTATCATACGATTTTTTTTCATATGATTTTAAGAAATAAATAAAAAAAGTTACAAAGTATTTAAGCATTATTCGAAATAAAATATTTAAATTTAAATACATAAATCAATTCGAATTGGAAGTTGAATATCTTTAAAATCTAACTGTAATTAATTATTGGTGATTTTTCATTCTCAGGTCAAACAGGCCCGGTCGTAAATAGTTGTTTAACGTTGATGGTCAGTCAGTATATCTGTTCCCTTTAGCAACCGGAAGGGAAAGAAAGGTTGGTCCAAAGCTTAATGGATATATTTTCTCTAGTAACTGATTATAATAAATTTTGTTTTGACCATACGGAATATGTGAGTTCAACATTTTGACCTCAAATAACCTGAATTGACAAACTTTTTATGAATAGTGATGTAGAAGAGTCGCTGAAACAGTTTATTCACTCTTTGGGTCTCATAGTAGCAAAAATGCTACACATGTTTTATAATTATTTTTCACAACATAATTTATAAATTAAACTTTCCACTCAAGTATAGAAAAATTTAATAGAAACTTACATTGACTAAATTTCATGCGAGTGCTCGTGAGATATGTGTGTTATGTATTTCTGTGTGAAATAAGTTAATATAACAGTCTGCTTCAATTCAATCCGACAGAAATAGTTTGGGACTCAAAGGGTTAAAATTGATTTTTCTAAAATATAATTACGAAAAATCGATGAAAGACGCCGATTTTCGATTAAATTTCATGTATTAATTGAACTTAATCGATTTTACTCGACAAAAATCCATTAAAATCAATTTTGTTTTGCGAAAATTTGTTAAAATTCATTTTAATTGTTAAAAATCTATCAAAATCAATCTTGTCTATCAATATTCTAATAAAAATCATTTTATTTAGTAGAAATACATTAAAACTGATTTTGGTCATGTATAATCCATAAAAATATATTTTGCTTGTTAGAAAACCGTTAAAATCGATTCTCACCGTTTGTGATTCATGAGAACCGATTTCATGCCATGAAAATCGATTTTTGTTCGTGCTTACTCCGACAAAACCGTTATTTTCATGCAGAATATGACTCATGTATCAAGAGTTGTTGAAAAATTAATTTATTTTTGAATGTGATTCAATTATAATGAATAACGTGCTGCAATTTCTATTCAATTGGATGTATATATTAGCATTTTTTTAGAAATATATTTTAACTGTATTTTAAATCAGAAGAAATGGTTGGCCTAGGTATAGTGTCAAAGCGTGAGAAAATCAAAAAAATAAGAGGTATTTTTGTTGATTGAAAATATATACATTTTCTTGTAAAATCGGTAATTTCAATAAGACGCGTTCTTTTATTGAGTGGTCGCCGCATCTTATGTGTTCATAATAAAAGATGATGTTATTAGAGGTAACAATAAACTGAAGTGGTTTTGTTTTTTTTCGAGATAATCGACTAATAATAGTGATTGGTTGTTGTTAACAGAAATAATATGAAAATTTGATGCAGGGTTTATGACATTATTGAACCATTTTGTAGGGCTTTTATCCTACACTTACTTTTTACAGTGTAAGACGTTTTTGAATTAAGAAAACGACTTTTTGATGACGAAAGGTTTGGAAGATTCTTTTTCTAAATTAGTTGAAGCTAGAGTTATATTTGATCCTGAAAACTGAGTATTTGCCAAATGTCGTGGCGAAAGTACAACATGTAAGGTAACCTGTTTGCTCACCTCGTTATCTCCTTTGTCCTCACCTTTAACTCGTCATCTCACTCTCGACAGTTCTGCAACGCCTTGAAACAGCTACTGAGAAAAAAAAACAATCTTTCGAAGAAGGTCTTTCAAAGGCTTTTCTTTGGATGACATCTTGAGGTAGGGTGATTTTAATTGTGAAAAAGAAAGTTTTCTGAGACAATGTTTTAAAAACTTTTCTCAATGGTATTTTGGCATAAGGTGGTTTTTAATCTACTGTGGAGAGTTTTATAAGAAAACAGCTGTTAAGGCGTTTTTCTCGAGAACTATGATGCACCTTCAAAGTTAAGCAAAAATTTTTGAGATCCTCGAAAGCAAATCGCAGATTAGTTTGTTCAAATCTTTCAACCTCTGTTTTTTAGGTTACTACTTGTATATTTTGAATCTCAAATATCGACAGTCTTTTTCTACAGTTTATAGAGAATCGGTTATTCGAAAAAGCTACGCCTCCTTAATGACATGCTAATATCATAAGTTGTCCATGTGCTGGATAATGTAATGGTAATCGTCCTTCCTAATTGACACTTAGTATCAATGCGCTACTAATACGACTGTGTATTGGTATCGGTACTATTGGTATTACTATATTTTTGGTGGGGAGTAACGTCATCTAATAGTCAGAGATAAAAAAAAAAACAAATGTATGCACCATGCTCAGATTTCATTAAAAAGTTACAAGATTGTGGTCTAGGATAATCCTTAAAATAATACATATAAGGTCCTCAGATTTACGTCAAAAAATTATAGATAATAGTGTCGAATAAGGCTTGAAATCTCATAGATAGCAACTTCGTGCAATTCCTAAAATTGTACAGATAGTACCCTCGAGAGATCGTAAACTATGACAGATATAACTCTTCGGATGGGTGCGGGTTCAAGGTTGAAGAGATATATACACCCACACCATTTTCGATATTCAAATGTCACTCATTCATAACATTTACTCGACATGATTTTTGATCCTCCTCGTTGCAAATATCTGTGTCTTGAAGATGAAAAACGACAGAAGAAAAGACAAAACAAATATCACTTAATCTTTGCAATCGCTACTAATCGATTATTGTTGTCTTCTTGGCATCTACTTAATAAATACTTTCATACATTATTATATTCCTCTGATCTTCATCTTTAAATGTTCCTTACAAACACGGTACGCAATCGCTTTACTTTTGAATAAATGTCAATTTACTACAGAAAATATAAGAATCTTCATAATTGATGGTGTTCGTCTATCAACCACTGTCACTGTCCCCATGCCGAAATGTAACGATGACAAATTTCCCGTTCTACTCACTCGATCATGTGGATCCTTTAGCACGTCCATAGTAACCTTTTGCAAGCTACGGTTCCTCTACGGATTATCGTTGGAGCTTCACTACAGCTTGTTTTAATCGCTATTCACTGTCGTCAACTAATGCACGTTTGAGAAGCTTTGCTGAAGTACATATAGTACGTCGCGTTGTGGTCGTTTGTGGATTCTCTTATCATTGTTTTTTTTCTTATAATTGAATTATTCTTTTTTTTTAGATCGTCTGTTCAATCGACAATATCTCGATATCAAGACAGGTAAACAATTCTTTTCTTTTTATCTCAACTGAATTTTTCTCTTTTTAAGTCATCTATTCATTATATAATATCAAATTCAATTAGTCGGTGATTAATTTGGCGATGTCTTTAATAAGAACACAAGACAGAAGATATTTTTCATTTTCAAACGATTTTCTTTTGTTTTTGGTGCATGCGCTTTGAAGATTTTGAAGAAACCATTAGTCGATGGTTCGTTTTTAGCACCAGATTCGGTCTGTTTGGTAGAGAAGGGACAACCAGGAAGTAGGGTGTTGAGGTATCTTTGATTACTAAGTGAAGGGCACGTGATAGATGAGGATACATGTGAATTATTGAACGATGGTGTCTTTCCGTCGAAACTTGTCGAAATCCGACATCTGTTCTGTTGATCATTAAATCTCTCTAAACACTTGAATGTAAAGACATTGTGTCAGTCGAAAAAATACATAACTTTTCTGTGGAATACGTATGTGCGTTAAAGGCAAGTCATAGAAAAGATCAACGAGTGCAATTTTATTCTCTTCCATAGAAAAAAATATTTCTCCTTTCGTTCCTGTCACAACTGTTAGATGATGCAAGAGAGAAACACTCTGTGACTTGAGCATAATGTAACGAAAAAGGCAAGAGTGCAATTATTTATTTTTCTTATAAAATCACGATTGCGTTATTTTTAACAGATACATACATCATTTAGAATGTAATAAATTGGCAACAAAAAAAACAATGAACAACCTCTTGTTGTATGTACGTATATCCAACGACAATATCTACAATGATCAAACTGGTTGATAAGTCATCAAGGAGATTAATGTAAATATCGCAGAACAGAAAATTCTATTCGAAAAGAAATCTAAAAAAAAAATACACATGATTTGAGTAAACAGAAATACTGCGAAAGTTTACTTTTTATTTTCAATTTCAAAATTTTTTTGGTTTTTATTATTATCATTATTACAGATCACAACAGAATGTATTAAGATATGTACTCTCTCTTGTCTTCTTCTTCCACCTTCTCTCTCTCTTGCATTGATCGATACTCTGCATGATTTATCTTTTCTTTTTCTCTTTGTAACCGTCGATATATGAACAGTTGTTGCTGTATATATATTCTACTTCATTCCATGTTCATGTGAGTGATATTATGACATCGTTTATTTGTTTTTCTTTTCATTTGGCAAGATTCCAGCTAAAATTTGAATTTCTCTAGAAAAAAGAAAGATATTCTATTCTAGAATTCTATTGTTATTTCTATAAACATTGTGATTAACATCGTCATATGACTCTGATCAACAAAATGAAAATCGAACGATCATCCGGTATATTAGCTCACATATCGTCGTTACCATCTTCATATGGTATTGGTGATTTAGGCTCAGAAGCCTACAAGTTTATTGCTTTCTTGGTGGAAACACGGCAAAAAATTTGGCAAATTTTACCAATCACACCAACGAAGTCACCATCACCCTATTCAGGTTAGCATAAATAAATAGACTAGTACTTTCTTTTCTTTTTTTTTGCTTAAATACCATCTAACATTTATTCGATTATGCTTCAAATCCGATGACTATAGCGGTTCAATTACAAATGCATTTCGAGTAATCATTATTCTCACAGTCTTTGTTGGAACTGCATCAAAATTGAAATGTCATCCAATACACAAAACAGCATTTATTTTAGTGCGCAACGAAAATAAAAATTACATTGGTAAAGTTAACACCACATTCGAATAAACACCGTCTTTTTTTTCTTAATATTGATTTTAAAAATAGCTTTTTTTTATTTTTCTTTTCAGGAATGTCAGCATTTGGTGATCATTGGTGGTTAATTTCACCTGAGAAATTGGTCGAGAATAATTTCTTATCAAAAAATGATTGAAAAATGATTGATCTATCGAAATTTCATGATGATTATGCTGTTTATAAAGATGTACGAAATTTAAAAGAAGAATTATTAGGAAAAGCCTATGAATATTTCAAAATGAATGACAAAGAATCAGAAAATAAATTGAAAGATTTTTTCGAACAACAACGTTATTGGATTGGTGATTTTACTTTATTTCTGACAATAAAAGAATACGTAAGTTTCAGATATTCTCTCATTCACAGTAATTTAATTGGGTGTTACTTTTAACTGCTCACAAGTATAATTCAATGTTTATATGCAGTGCACAAAAAAACTGACTTTTGTTTGAATAGAATTCGAGAATCTGGATCTGGCCGTTTTTTTATACAAAAAATAAAAAATATCTATGTCATTTATTCAATCTAGTACAAAAATGAAACATGGGCAGATTGGCCTGATTCTTTACGTCGTCATCAATCTTCGGCCTTAGATCAAATTCGTCAAGAGAAAAAAGATCGAATTCAATATCATCTTTTTGTTCAATATGTCTTTTATCAACAATGGTTTGAATTGAAGAAATATGCTAATGATCGACATATTAAAATAATGGGTGATATGCCCATCTATGTCGATTACGATTCAGTCGATGTTTGGGCACATACAGACTTCTTTCAATTGGATAAAAATACTATGCAACAAACAGTTACTGCAGGTATGTTAAAGAAGATAAATTATGCCTTTTTGTAAGAATTATCTCATGATTCAGTTGGAGAATGAATGATATACAAACCGCTTCCAATTATATAAGATAATAAGAGAAAATTAATTTGTCATGATAAAGTTGCTTTCAACTAGCTTCTGACAAAATGAGAGTAACTACATTATTGACGTTGATTATTTTTGTATCATTCAGAAAAGTGACATTTTCCTTATTCTTCACTAATGAGAGAAACATATTCAGGTGATCATCGAGTTTTGAGTTGATATTTTGCTCACGAGTAGATCTCAGTGAGACTAAAAAATTCTGAAAAGCATTTGTGCTACTGACTATTCCTTGCTGAGTTAGATCCATATAGAGACAAAAAATCGAATCACGATAGTTTCAATCTGAGTTTTCGTCCATACATAGGTCTAATGATATCTATCATATTCTAAAAATTTCAGTCTGAACGGGTGTGGGTGTGGGTGTGAGTGAGAGACAAATATCATACCCACGCCCACACCCCACACCCACCCACACCCACCC